AATAAACATTCATATCTGTCTACTCGGCTAGTTAATCCAAACAATATAAAAATGTATACTGTTGATAAACAATATAAAAACAGACGTCACATAGGGCTAAATGCGTAGCATTTTAATGTTTCGTTTTTTTTACCTAAAACAGAGACGCTGATGTTGATGTGTCTGCATTCAAGCATTTCAGTGGGCTTAAATAGATCACCCTTTATAGCAGATTTAGTTCACAAACAACGGACAGTTTTGACCTAAATATGATTTTCAGTTACAATAATTAATCCTAAAATTCGACAGTAACTTACTTTTAGCAGCATCAGTCGCGCGCGAGCTCACAAGATCTCCCGGTTCTTACTTCAAACACTGAATTCAGTTCACTGGAGACTCGCACTAAATGGTTCATTTGAATCAGTGAGTTGTCGACTCGAGAACAGCTGCAATCGGTTAATTCTAATTCGTGAATGAATCGTTTGGTGCGATTTGCGAACCGATTTAAAAGGTTAATTGAAAAGAATCAGTTCGTTCTTGAATCAGACACCGCTTCTGCATGCCGGAGCATGTGATATATTATTAGGAGTAACGATATGTTTTATGAAATGTAGTGAAGTAAAAAGTAAGATCTTATTCTTTGGAATGTAGTGAAGTAAAAGTAAAAGTTACTCAAAATAAAAATACTCCAGTAAAGTACAGATACTTGAAAAATTTACTTAAGTACAGTAACGAATTAAAACTACTCCGTTACTGTCCACCACTGCAGAAGAATCAGTGGTTGTGTCTCTGAGCAACTCAGATCAATTAGGGTTTTTAAACAATTCATTTGAGTGATTGATTCAAAGGACTCACTGATAAAGACAGTCACTTGTTTTGTTCCTGAATAAATAAGTGTTTTGACTAAATAGTTTGAGTGACCGATTCAATGACTCATTCATAAAAACTCACATTTTTGTTGTTAAATTAAGGCAGTCAGATTTCATTCCTTAATGAATCAGTTGTGTATGAATCAGTTTAGTAAGTGATTAAATGGTTGAATGACACGTTCATAAAGGCAGTCATATGTTTTGTTCCTGAATGAATCAGTGTTTTGAACAAATTGTTTAAGTGGCTCACTTGGTGGTTCATTCATAAAGACCGTCATATGTTTTGTTGCTGAATCATTACCAGTTAATTTGTTTTGAACATATTGGTTGCGAGTAAGTGATTAAATGGTTCAATGTCTTGTTTACAAAGACAATCACATGTGTTGTCGGATTTAAATCAGTTGACTAAATGATTAAATAATTGAAGAATTCATTCATCAACACATTATGTTTAGTTCCAGAATGAATCTGTATTTTTGAGCGAATCAGAACTGAGTGAATGATTCCAATGACTCACTTATAAATAGAGTCAATTGTCGCCACCTACTGGTGCAACAACGTAAATACAAACTGTGAAAAGTGCCAGTACTGTTGGACTGTTATAGCAGCACTGTTGGAATGCTGCTTGACTAGATTGAAGGACAGGTATTAACTGTTATATAAATTTAATTATAATACATGAATCAATTTTTACACCATTCACTTGGGTGACATCTCTATTCTATCTATTTTGTCCCCTTTCCTCAACTCTAAACAAACAGTGAAAATGTTTTAAAAAAGGGTTTGTTCTCTCCAGTTCCATCAACAAGCTCATATTTTTTTAACTGGCCCAGGGGAACAATTCTCTGAATTACTGATACTTGGCACTGAAGGATCTGCGTAAGCTTTAAATGTGTGTACGGTGAGCAAGAGAGTCATTAAACGTCTGTAGAACTCAAATGAGTCTTGAGCAGTATTAAAACAGCAATAAAGAAGGACTGCTCTGTTGCTTAGTATGGAGGACACTGTTGAGACAAGTATATGTTGACTGTGTTTATTGCACTCATGATAATGGGTTTAACAGGTGGAGCATTTATGTGCTGTACATGTTATTTTAGAATCTTTTAGAGCAACCTTCAACATTTTCTTATCGTTCTGTTTGTCCCTGTCTTTCTCTGTCCAGGCTGGAGGGAAGCACTACCACCCCACTTGTGCTCGCTGTGCCCGCTGTCAGATGATGTTTACAGAAGGAGAGGAGATGTATCTCACAGGTGAGGAGAGGTTATAGAGGCCAACAAGTTTTATTTTCTATTCATTTTCTATGAGCTTTGTAATTACCAAAATGTGGGAACATGTCTAACTATAGTTTAAAACCCTTTTAATAGATTTTTTTTCTAAAAATAAACATTAGAAATATTTAAAAACTCTATACTCTATAGATACTCTAACAAAATTCTCAAATTACACTTAATTTAATCATGTGTATGTGTCATTCCCAAGGTCATTCAAGTTCAAAAGTTCATCCTTGTGACAGAGCAGATGAGCACTTTACTAATAAAAGAGCTCTTTTACAATATTCCATGACAATCTTTCAACATTAGCTTCATTTCCAGAACATCATGAACAATATGCAAGATTCATGCGGGAGATAAAGGCTGTAGTGAGAAGACTTTAATGAAGAAACTCATGTTATTCCCCAAAGAGTCACAGAGGCTCATCGTGATCTATCTTAATGCCCCATTCAGTAGATTTCCTCTGTGAAACTGTGTGATCGCTCATATGACTTCCAGTGCCAGCGGCTGGTGGACATTAGAATGCACCGCAGGTCTTTTTCTGTGTTTGTCTGTTCTGTTTCACATTCAGCGATGAGATGTGTAAGTGTGTTAGGGAACGAGAAAGGGAGAGAATGAGCCAGCCAGAGACAGAGCATCGGATTAAAAAACCCATCAATCTGAAATTTAAAATACTACAGTTGAATGAATGCACTCTGGCCTTTCTTCTCATAGAGTGATTACGTTAAAATGTATTTGCCTTAGTTTGACTTATCCATCTGCTTCTAAATCTCAAACTCACCACTAAGGTCAGGAGGAATATGATTGGCAGGCAGGTCTAAGATGCCAAACTGAATAAAATGTACAATAAAAATCTCTTAATCTTTAAAAAATCTTTAAAAAAAAGTCCATTAGGTCCACATTTTCTTCAAAAAAGCCATGGCGCCAGTGTCTACTCAAAAAAAATTTTCAGTTTATAATATAAATCAGATTATGATTGTAGAAATAGGATTTAATTTATACTTTAATCTTACCAATTAAAAAAGTTTGGGTTCAGTAAGATCTTTAAATGTTTTCGAACGAAGTCTCTTATTCTCAGTAAGTCTGCATTTGGTTTTATTAGTTTTAAAACAGTAATATTTTGAAGTATGTTGAAACCATTGTCCTGCTTAAGATATTTGTGGAAACTGTGATGATTTTTTCAGGATTCTTTGATGAACAGAACGTTTAAAAAACAGCATTTATTTTAATTTGTTGTAACAATGTAAAGGCCACTTTTGTGTCTCAATTGAATGTGTCCTTGCTAAATAAAAGTATTTCTTTAAAAAAATCCATGTGGCTTAATTTTAGAATCCCTTCTTTTCATGTCTTAAATCAAGTCATCTTAAGGTGTCTTGAATGAACACATGGCTGGATTAGAAGTTTTGTGCATTGTATCTAACATTCTCCTCCTCTTTGTTTGTTTCTCAGGTTCAGAGGTGTGGCATCCTGTGTGTAAACAAGCATCTCGAGCAGAGAGGAAACTGAGAGTAAATGTCTTTTTTAACAGTTATATGATTTTTAAAATGCCTTCAGATCTCACTCTCAAGCTATTCTGTTTTCATTTTACAGCTCAGGCGCACATCAGAAACCTCCATCTCTCCACCAGGCTCCAGCATTAGTTCACCCAGCAGAGTCATATGTGTAAGTAGCCAGTCGCTGTCCAGCCTGAATGAAGACAACAGAGCTGTAAATGATACAAAATCAGAACATTTGATTTTGAAATTTGACATAATGTGTTCATGTTAATTTTAGGGTTAAAGGACAGTTCACCCAAAAATGAAAATTCAGTCATCTTTTATTCACTGTCATGTTGATCCAAACCTGTGTGACTGAATTTCTTTCATGGAACACAAAAACACCAATTTACCAAAATCAATTATATAAATAATGACAGAACATCCATTTTTGAATGAACAGATTAAATAGATTAAAAAGATTTATATTTCAAATAAATGCTGTTCTATTTCTTTCTATTCTTTTTATTCATCAAAGAATCCTAAAAAACACAAAAATACTTTTCAACCTTGATAATAATATGAAATGTTTCTTGAGCAGCAAATAAGCATATTAGAATGATTTCTGAAGGATCCTGTGACACAGAAGACTGTAGTAATGGCTACTGAAAATTCAGCTTTGCCTTCACAGGAATAAATTGCATTTAAAAATATATTCAAATTGAAAACAGTTATTTTAAATTATACAAATATTTTTCACAATATTACAGTATTTTTGATCAAATAAATCCAGCCTTGGTGCGTGTAAGAGGCCTCTTTTAAAGGCATTAAAAAATCTTATTGAACCCAAACGCTGCAGTGGTAGTGTAAAGTGCCATGAAGATTTCTGTAGTTTCTCAACTAGTACATCATGGCACTTGAAACACAACAATTACAGGTTTGATTTCCAGAGAATGCATGAACTGATTAAATGTGTAGCTTGAATGCACTGAAGGTTGCTTTGGATAAAAGCATCTGTCAAATACATAAATGTAAGTATTATTGGTCATCCCAAGATGGATGGCTCTCGTGCTTGAGTTTATTGGCTTTTTCATAATGTGTTCGTGTGCGTTCTGCAGTGGTGCAGTCATTAACATCACATGTGGAAGTAAAGGGCCGGCCCGAGTGTAACCTTTGTGCTGTGTGTGATTGATGTATGCATAACGCAGTGTAAGCATATGTGCTGTCAAGCCCTGCAGGTCCATACTCTGCTGAAGGTCAAGCGTGAGACTATACATGTATAAGATTCAAATAGAAGCAAACCCTTAAAATACTATCTGGGACTACTTGTAAAGGAAGGCACTAACCTAAATGTGTTAAAGGGATAGTTCACCCAAATATAAAAACGTGTCATCATTTACTCACCCTCATGTCGTTCCAAATCAGTATGACTTTCTTTATCCTGCTGAACACAAATAAGAAGCTTTGGAAAATGACATTTTTCTAAATATCTTCAGTTTTACAAAACAAAGTAAGTCATACAGGTTTGAAATGACATGAGGGTAGGTACATGATAATGGTTTTCATTTTTGGTTGCACTATTCCTTGAAATAGTATTTGGGTCATGTAGTTTATGCGTCCAAAATAAAAACAGAACCTTCAGTTTGCATGTTAACAAAGGACTTTATACTCACTCCAAAAAAAAGTCATAAGCAGTCTTATTTAATGTCAATTAAATTTGACATTCTTATAGCATTTATGTGCTGCATTACAGTTTCAATCATGAGCTCAATTGTATTCTAACAGCACTTGCTTTAAAGTGTTCCAACTGTGCCGCAGGATTATTCCCACACTTAATTGTGTTGTTGATGTTGTCGACGCCTGTCATCATTGCTGTCATTGCTGCTCATTGCGTTTGACGTGTGAGTGTGTGTATCTGTCGTGTGTCCCTCTCCTCAGGCAAAAATGGAGAACGAGATCCTTGATTACAAAGACTTGGCAATTAATTTTTATATATATATATACAGTATATCAGTTCAAAATATCAGTTATCAGTCTACTTGATCTGTAATAATCAGCATCGACCCTGAAAAAGTCATATCGGTCAACCTCTAGATAAGTCAACAGCAATATATTTTGCAAAAAAGTTATCAATCTGTCTAAAGTAGCGATTAAGTGTGTTAAATTGACAGTTGTTGCTCTATGAATCATTCAGTCACTGAGTAAATAAAGTGAGAGATTCTCACAGTCATAGTAATGAATAATGACATTTTATGTGACTAGGACATGTATGATAGTATGGACATAAGGATGAGAAGATCCTCCAGTCCGGGGTACATAGACTCCCCCACCTACAGCAGACAGGGCATGTCTCCCATCACGCCCCGCTCTCCACAGCACTACTACAGATATGGTGAGTCCCTTCTGCTGAGCAGTACAATAATAAAAAATACACTCTCATCCCTGATATATGGGATGCTGGTGTAACCAGCTTTCAGCTTCATTAGAAGACTATGCAAGTTGACCAGCATGTGTTGCTGGTAAACAACATGGATAGTGGACCAGTGCTAACCAGATTGAACCAACATACTGGTCTAAGCTGGTCTTTTCAGCAGGAATGGCTTGAGAACTATACTGAATATGCAGTATATTGGAAAAATATACTATATATTTCTTGCTTTGCCTTCTTTATACGTTTTATAAAATGTGGTTTCCAGTTACATAGCAAACACTCAGAAAAAAAGGTACAAAAACTTTAATTGGGGCAGTACCCTTGCAAACTGTACATTTTAGATACTTATATGTACATTTAAGGTATCGTTATGCAGCCTTTAGGGGTAAATATGGTAAAAAGGAATACCTTTTGAAACCATACCACCCCAGTGACAGCATTTGTACCCTTTGTAGAGTGTAGTGACTGATAATGATTTTAAAGTCAACATGAATTGTGACTTTTTTTAGAAGTAAAATGGGACATTCAGTGACAAAAAGAGAAAGGACCAGTATTATTTGCATACTATTATAGTATTTATTAATATTTTTGAAGTAGCATTTATTTTTAGTAAATTTTAGTTTTAGTAATTTTGTCGGGGTTTTTTATTTTATTTTATAGTTATTGTTATTTTTGTATTTCTATTTAGCTTAATTTAATTCATTTTTATTTCACTTGTAGCCTTTTAGTGCTTTTCGTGCTTCAGCTTAAACTTATTTTATTTCAGTTAGTTCAGTTTTCATTGGTTTCTTTATTTTTGTTTTATTTAAATTAATGAAACACACTGGAAAAGACAGGACTTTATCCATCTGGAATTGATTGGCTCTTCGAGTTGTGATGTCACCCAAAAAGTTACAAAATTTTGATGAATTACATTTTTTAAATGATGAGAATGTGATGAATTATTTACAGTAAGACCACAATAAGAGATTTCATGTTGACTTTAATCAAAATAAGCTATATAGGCTTTTCATGTGGGATATGTTATTTGGGAGCCTGTCTTGCCATTCCACCCACATCCTATGCACCCCTCTGTCTGGCACAGTATGTCTTTTCTTCTGTTTTGAAATGCATACTGTCCCTGCCTGGCTAATCTTGGATCATTGATCTGATGATCGCCGGTGTGATGATTGAGTGTGTGTAGTTAGGGCGCACAGGACGTGTGCACTCATGCTCTGGTTCTGTTACTGTCATTGGCTTGGGGCTTGCTGCAGGCACTGAGAGTGGCAGAAGTTCACCCTATTGCAATCAGCTAGATGCCCGGTCCAGCACGCCCACCACAAACCAAGCTCCCAAGCATTTCCATGTGCCAGGTAGGCCAGGCCTCTACACCTCATTGGCTGCTGTCATCACTTTCATATTCATCCAGCAGTATATTTGACTATAAATTAAAGTCTTGTTAATGAATCAAAGTCCCTGTAACTGTTGACTCTGTCTATACTATACATCTATAGTATGGCTCTACTCCATTTTTGTGTTCTCTTCAACTGTTCCACTCTCCCCTACCTTACCCTAAAGGTCCCTGGAAGCCTGAAGAGGAAGAACAAAAAAGCATATCCTGCCCCGTGCTTTCTTCTGCCTGTCACTTACATGTCCTTCATGTTTTATTTCTAATCTCTCCTTTTCTTCTCAGCCACAGGGGAGCCCAATATCTACAGGAAGCCTCCCATCTATAAGAGACATGGTATAGTGTGCTCCGCCTGCCCCGGCCTGTTTTCCCTCACACTCAGTCCTGAGGCTGTGTGGGCTCATGGGAAAGATGTGTCTGATTAGTGTTAGTGTCCTCCATAGCTGTCCTCCACAAACCCTTTAGTCTAAAAGCCTTTAAGAGAAGTAGTGAGCAAATGAGGAAGAAAAACGCCTTATATTAAAATACAGAGTGCCTCCTGCTTTCCGTTCCTTGCATGACAGAAGAATGTAGAACTGGCACGAACGCATCCTTACTTCTTAAAGGAGGGTGATGAAAAAAGGATGAGGCTTGCTGAGGCATGATTAAAGCTTGCCATGTCCCCCCTCTGCTTTAGATTTACTGGGAAGTGGCTGCATTACATGCCACAGAGAAGCACCACTGAACGCTAAATTAAGATCAACCCTGTTGAGAAACCGCTGTTAGGAAGGCAAGCCTGTTTAAGCATGAAATGAGCAAGCGTGAAAGCCTAAACATCCTACAGAGGTTCACAGTGTTCAAATGGCAGCCATATTGTTTCTCTGACAGCTGATAACATATTAAATGTTGCATTTTATGTACTTTAGGGACTAGTTAGTCCCTAGACTGCTTCTGTTAGTTATTGGTGGCGGATCATTGATAGATGGTTGTTTATGTGCATATCTCTGTCTGTTCATTCATAAAATTACAATCTCACAACTTTTTGTCAAGTACATTGGTTAGTATGTCTTCAAAATGTCATGAACTCTAACCCCTTTAACTCAACAATAGCAATAGTACATCTTTCCCTTAACTGCATGTGTCTGTGTGTGTATTTATGTGTATATACTGTGTATATACAGTATCTCACAGAAGTGAGTACACCCCTCACATTTTTGTAAATATTTTATTATTTCTTTTCATGTGACAACACTGAAGAAATGACACTTTGCTACAATGTAAAGTAGTGAGTGTACAGCTTGTATAGCAGTGTAAATTTGCTGTCCCCTCAAAATAACTCAACACACAGCCATTAATGTCTAAACCGCTGGCCACAAAAGTGAGTACACCCTAAGTGAAAATGTCCAAATTGGGCCCAATTAGCCATTTTCTCTCCCCGGTGGCATGTGACTCATTAGTGTTACAAGGTCTCAGGTGTGAATGGGGATTAGGTGTGTTAAATTTGGTGTTATCGCTCTCACTCTCTCATACTGGTAACTGGAAGTTCAACATGGCACCTCATGGCAAAGAACTCTCTGAGGATCTGAAATATATGTGTGTGTGTGTGTGTGTGTGTGTGTGTGTGCATTACAGGCTTGTGCCATTTTTGGTAGGATTAATTATTATCCTTAATTATATTCCTTTTGATTACAACAAAGTGATAAATAATACAATTATACCTGATATATTATAAAGATGATAAAGTGTGTTTATGGGTAATAAAGTGCTCAACATTAAGGATTTCATCTGGGCTCAACAGTTTAGATTTTTTGCGATGCCAATGTTTCCCCCCACCAAAAAAGTGATGTATTTTATGTATATATCAGGAACAGTTAATTAAGGATAATAATAATAGTAATCAGTGTTGGAGGTATTACAAGTAACACAAGTTACGTAATCAGATTACTTTTTTTCGTACTAGTAAAGTAACACATTACTTTTAAATCTACAATGAAATGTTACTTTTTCAAATAAGTAATGCAAGTTACTTTTTTTCCCATTTATTCATGGGAAATATGATAAAAAAAATTTCATTAAAAAGTAACGCAATTAGTTACGTTTCTCAAACGTGTATTTGAGAAAAACATTTATGTCATAATGATATTTCCCCCCATTTTAAATTCTTGTTCTCCAATGAAAGGTTAGATTTATGTGAATTTTTTAAATAAAAGATCAAAATTATTAACAATGCAGATTTATTTTCACAGCCTTCTTTGGTCATATTTACCAAGGGTGCCAATAATTTTGACCATGACTGTATCTATAGGCCCAGATATAATCTTTGTCCACATTTTCTTTAGGAGAGATTGTGAAATGGCTTTAAACGTGTTATGAATGTGCAAAATTGTTTGAATGATAGTTGTTACAATACTTCAGACATTTTCTGTGCAGTTCTGACCCTTTTTGAGGGATAAAATCTGTGGAATGAATCTAAGTATACTAAATGGTGTTAAATGGAATAGAGCGTGCTAGACATTTATTGGTTGCTGACAGCATCAAATTAGCTAAAATGTTTAAAAGACAAGCACACAGGGTGCAGGGGATTATAGAACTGTGTGAATTATGGCTGTTTGGCTGTTTGAGTTCTTCAAAGCTTCTGGCAGAGATTATATGTAGGCCTGCCAATTAGCATGGACAGTACACAACAACAGAGATCTAGAGTGCATAAGGGAGATTAATTTGTTTCAGAGTTTTGCACAGAGCTGCACTAATGCTGCAGATTTATTTACTGGCCAATTCAGATACTTGCTCAGTCCATCAAGTTCTAAGAAAGGTCAGAACCATCTCTGAGAGCCTACATTTTGTGTAGTCAAGTGTGTGTTTGTGTTTATCCTCGTGTCACAAGCCTGTAATGAGCACTTTACAAGGAATATTTTGCTACCCATATGGTGGATCTGCATGTGTAAGTGAAAAGTGTTATATTGTTGTAGATGTCTAGCTGTGTTTGTGCAAAAGACTCATACTATTGTAATGCAGATCATTTGCTTCTCTGCCATATGGGTACCAAACTTAAAATCTCACTAAAGACTCTATGGGATGCAAATATTTCTTCCCTTATTCTTTTTTCCCTGTTTTTCCCCCTCACCACCTTAAATACAAAATTCCCTCCACCTCTACTTTCCTCGGTCACCATTCACTCTGTAAGTATTCTCTCTCCCCGTGTACATCTGTCTGTCTGCGTTTTGGGTTGTGTGTTTGTTCGATTGATCTCTAGTCCCTCACTTACATTCTCATCCCTGTGAAGTCTTTTCCATTAGGGACTGTGTGAGGCCTGTGCTTCTGTATTTGTGTTGAATCTTCTTGTGTGTGTTTTATATGGATGGGAGTTCAGTGCTGTTTTTGACTGGTTTTGCTTTAGCATTGAAGGCAATTTATCAATATCCATGTCGTGTCTAATAATACAAAGAGTTTTATAGTGTTTTCTGTGCTTATTCAATATCTCATTTATATGAATACAGATGCTTTATATTGAGTGTTGTGGATTGTGTTAAATTCATTTCCCTCTGGGTTGTTATATGTGAGTGTTGTAGCTTTTTCTTTCTTTCTTTCTTTCTTTCTGATACCCCCTTAACACCTAGCATTAGCTAGGTTGAGTTCACACAGAATTGAAAAAGCTTCAGAATTTTTTTTATGGAAAATTCAAAAAAAGCAAAACAATGTGTTTGACAGAAAAAAAACAATGTAAACTGTTCTTGTTCTTTCTCTCGCCCTTTTTTCACAAACACACACACACACTTCTCTCTGTTGATGTTTTCCTTATATTAACACTAAATGTAACCTTTGTATATCTGACACGCTAATATTTTAGTATATGCATGGTGTGCGTATGTATGTAGGCCGATGCGATACGCATCTCGATGCATAGTCTACAATATATTAAAGATACATATGAAGCAGCTACCAATGCAATGCGATACGATTCACCCCTGTTATGGTGCAGTGCGATCTGATTTTGGTTTGATTCAATACAATGCGATTCAATGCAATATGATGCAATAGAAAAAAAATATGATGCTATGAAATTCAATATAGTACAAATAGTTCGCTTTTATTTCTTTGGTTCAGATAGATAGCAAATTATAAATTAACTTAAGCGATGCAGAAACGATGCATTGCGATACAAATGTCAACTTGTATCTGATGCACACTTTTTTTAAACTGATGCATTGCATTAACTTTTATGACGATGCACCAATGCACAGTTTTTTTTCTTTAGACAAAATAGAATAGAATTTTAATATCAGCCATTTATCAGTTATTGTCCATAACTTTAAAATAATTAGTTGTTTATTTGTATTGGCCAAAAAAAATGTATCAGTGCATCCTTAGCTATATATGCAGTATATATTAGTAAATATTGTTTACATTTTCATTGCATCGTAGTGAAATATTTTCTATATTTATTTGATAAATGGGGTTGGTATGCGTATCTGTCTTCACTTAATAACTTTCCTACATTACAACCCACCTTCTACTCCTACTCTTTTTTTTCTCTCATTTTTCCTTTTCCTCTTTCTCCATTCCTCCTCATGTGCATGTGAGCGGGTTGCTCTCCTTAATTCTATTTATGTGTATCTCATGGGGAAGTGCATGAAGCATCTGGAATTTTCCCTTCATCCCCTCCCTCTCTTTAGTTCCCTGTTTTCCTCCCCTTTCAGTACATGGATCTGACTTTGCTATTCCTGCTTCGCCCTCCCCCGTATCCATCGCTACTCTTCACAATGCTTGGTTTTATTCATGAATAGAAATAGGTGGTATTTACTGCACAGCACATGAAATAGATCAAGGGGAAGTCTGGGAGTGACATTGTAGAGCCAATTTATACAACTGAGTTAATACACTGGATTACAGTGGTGACATCCTGGAAGGTTTAGACAGACACCTAATGCTGCTGATGATCAAACACTCCCACACAATTAGATGGTTTGTGGGTAAGAGTTTTCGTAGATAAATAAAACATAACCAGAAAGTTGGGACTGTGGATGTTCATTATAATATTGTGTAGCCAGGAGGAAAAGGAAGCAACTTCTGTCTTTGTATTTAATCTCATATTTAATTTGTATATACATTAAATATAAATGAAATACACTACCAATCAAAAGTTCATTTTTATTCATTTATTTTATTTTGTTTAATTGTTTATTTTTTATTTTTTTATTCAGCAAGGATTACATTGATCAGGATTAAATGAATTAACTAAATAGATCCGGATAATGTCCTGGCATAAAATTGCAATGCATAATTCAAAATATAGTTTCATGTCAGGTTTCTTAGCGAGACTTTCTTCCTTTTCATCCATAACTTTCCTTTTGTTTCCCTTGCTTTCTCCTTTTCTCTTTTTCCTTTTTTCTTTACACTGCCATGGCTTTTTTCCCCATTCATCAGCATTCTTCAGGCTCATTGAGCACTTTGATGTGCCGTGTTTTAGTGTGGCTGGTGAGCAGCTTGCTCTCTGCTCTATTTGTTGACAGTTTTGAGACTTTTCCAATGGTTCTTTCAGTGGTCCCAAAACTCAGGGGACTCAGAGGTCTGACCTGATGGCAGACATACAGTAAGAAGCCTCAGTATCGGTCTAAACTGCAACATGTTATGTACCAGTAACTGCATATTTAGGTCATTCCACACTATGCGCATGACTGTTAGTTTAAGGGGAAATGTTTCTTAAAGTGTACTGCTATTGCTTTATTTTACCCAAATTAGTGATTTTATATTTGCATTTGTTATTTACATATAATAAATTTTCAGATTACCAAAGAAATTGTAATGTTCCTTTCTCTTTCCTTCAGCTCCTCGGACAAACTTTGCAGCAGAGAATGGTGAGTGACTCTTAGATAAATAAATCAAATAAAAAAATCAATTTTGTCAAAAAATAAAAAGGATTTATAGTAGGAAGTTTGAAACTGAAATGTGAAAGCTGTTGTAGTATTAAGTTTTATTATATACGTTTGGAAGCTTGTAAGATTTTTGGACCCTGAAGATCCTAGAGAAAACCATAAACTCCTGAGAATTGCTCATATGTTTTTGGCAAGGCATATAATTCTCATAATTTTTTGGCAAGGCTTTTAACCCCAGGGAGGCTGTGTCTGTAGTCTGTAGTTAATTTGTTTTGGATAAAAGTTCTGCATAAATAAAAGAACAGATAAATATTTGCAGTGTTGTTAACACGGATTCAAGCCTGGTCACTAGCGCCCTCTTCTGTGCACTCATGGACAAGGCAGTCAAAATGTAACAACTTTTAACAAATCATGTTTATTGTTCTTTCTTATTACTTGAAGACTACATATCCAAGTCAGCCTCTTTGCCCGGATATGGCAGGAATGGATTGCACAGGGTAAGTTTCACTGAGAAAAAAAAGGTAAAACCATTTTCACTCATAAATTGCTAGTAAATTTACAAACAGTTGGCAAGTAACACAGTGAATTAAACATGAAATGACCTCCAATAATAATAGTTTTATTTACAACTTCATTTTCAGATTACCAAAGAAATTGTAATGTTCCTTTCTCTTTCCTTCAGCTCCTCGGACAAACTTTGCAGCAGAGAATGGTGAGTGACTCTTAGATAAAAAAAATAAATTTTGTCAAAAAATAAAAAGGATTTATAGTAGGAAGTTTGAAACTGAAATGTGAAAGCTGTTGTAGTATTAAGTTTTATTATATACGTTTGGAAGCTTGTAAGATTTTTGGACCCTGAAGATCCTAGAGAAAACCATAAACTCCTGAGAATTGCTCATATGTTTTTGGCAAGGCATATAATTCTCATAATTTTTTGGCAAGGCTTTTAACCCCAGGGAGGCTGTGTCTGTAGTCTGTAGTTAATTTGTTTTGGATAAAAGTTCTGCATAAATAAAAGAACAGATAAATATTTGCAGTGTTGTTAACACGGATTCAAGCCTGGTCACTAGCGCCCTCTTCTGTGCACTCATGGACAAGGCAGTCAAAATGTAACAACTTTTAACAAATCATGTTTATTGTTCTTTCTTATTACTTGAAGACTACATATCCAAGTCAGCCTCTTTGCCCGGATATGGCAGGAATGGATTGCACAGGGTAAGTTTCACTGAGAAAAAAAAGGTAAAACCATTTTCACTCATAAATTGCTAGTAAATTTACAAACAGTTGGCAAGTAACACAGTGAATTAAACATGAAATGACCTCCAATAATAATAGTTTTATTTACAACTTCCATTTTTGTAAAGCACACTTGCATTTTTGTAACTACAAATACTATGTCTTGAATATTTTGTTTATTGCTTGTTTATTTCGTTTTTTTTATATTTGATTTAATGTTCAGTAACTGGACAGACAGAGCAGTAAAAGCAGATGGGTTGGAAATGTCAATTAAAACTTTATCCTGTTTATGTTTGCCTGTTTATTTGTTTTCCAGCCACAGAGTGCAGACTACTATCAGTATGACAGTGGCAGTGAAGTCAACTGGGGAATCAGAGGTAAGTAAATTAGTTTTTTTTTTTAAGGTGAGATTTTATTTAGAAGTGAAATTATTTGTACAAAAATGAGTTCTGACTTTAAAATCTTTTTTTTTTTCCCAACAGAGTACAAGGTAAGGACGATGGTTTAGCATTACCAGAGGATTAAAGGGGGCCCAGAGACACACTAAAACATCCTGAAACAGAGGCACCTCTGAAACATTAGCCCACTGTCTTCTCCAGAGGAAAGCCCAGATTTATGTCAGTCTAATGAACCCTGATGGGTCAAAGCAACGTCCTGCTGGTCAAAGCATGTGGAAACTAGAGGATGGACAAATTAGTGCTTCCAGGTCATAAGGCCACTGTGTCCTTCCCCAGCTGGCCCTTAGTGAGTGCAGGGGTCGTGAAGAGGGCAGGGGTTTGTCTGACCCCTTTGCTCCTGGTTGGTCAAGAACTATATTGTTCTGCTTGGTGTCGCTTCCTGTCTCGGTTACAGCTACTGTGCCAGAGGCTCTGTGATTTCCTTTCACTTTTTCAACTGTAAGTGAGAGGAAAAGGAGGTCCACCAGTGCACAGCCTGCTCTGAGAATAATGCTTAGCTTTCCATTACCAATCTATGAATGAAAGTTTCAGTCAGGACAATTACTTGTAAATCAATAAATATGAGTTTCAGCGTTTATGTAGTTTAAAGTTTACAATGACGTGCACTGCTAACTTTTGTTACAGATCTACCCATATGAAGCACTTATTGTGACCACTAGGGGGCGTAACAGGTTGCCAAAGGATGCAGACCGGGCTAGATTGGAGGTAAACCATTTATATTATTACAATATGTTTGGGGTCAGTAAGATTTTAGTTTGAAAGAAAATAATACTTAATATACTTACTACCTAATAAATTAATACTATTCAGCAAGGATGCATTAACTTGATTAAAGTGACAGTAAAGAAATGTACAATGTTAAAAACAAATGCTGTTCTTTTACAGAAATAATTTAAAATGTTAAATATATATTAAAACAGAAAACAATTATTTTCTATCTATCTATCTATCTATCTACCTAGTAAATTACTACTATTCAGCAAGGATGCATTAGCTTGATCAAAAGTGACAATAAATAAATTTACAATGTTACAAAAATATTTCTATTTCAAACTAATTTGGTTCTTTCACAAAGAAATTACATTTTAAAATATTTATTAAAACAGAAAACAATTATTTTACATTGTCATATTTCTCAATATTACTGTTTTACTGTATTTCTTATTAAATAATTGTAGCTTTGGTGAGCATAAGAGAATATTATCTATCTATCTGTCTATCTATCTATCTATCTATCTATCTATCTATCTATCCCTCTCTCTCTGTCTCTGTCTCTTTCTCTCAATATTTAATAAATGCTTACAAAAAATTAAAACAGATGAATAGATGGATATACTGAGTAGTATGTTTCCTTGACATTTTAGCGGCATCTTTCCCCTGAGGAGTTCTATGAGGTGTTTGGGATGACAATGGTGGAGTTTGACCGTCTGGCACTGTGGAAGAGGAACGAGATGAAGAAACAAGCTCGGCTGTTCTAGTGTTCCTGTCCCACACACACACACAGAGAGAGAGAGACCTGAATACCTGTTCCAGTCTAACTAAACAAACACATCCTGTGTCTCAGACACATAGTCATGCCTGGACTGTACCTAGAAATTGTGCAACTCTTTATTGTGACAGAGGCATATAAATGATCAGACAGGCTAAAATACCTGACAAAGGAAAACATAAATAAATAACATGATACACAGAATGGTGGGAACATTTTAGTTTTGACTTGAGTGTAAAGTGAACACATTTCATTTTGTTTCTGAATGACAAATCTAAGGAATCAGGATTCCTTATTCAAGGATTTTGAATTTTGCCTTATGTTCTCTATTAATTTATGCACCAGCAAAGTGAGTGAACAGAATGTAAATATGATTAATACAACCTTAATGAGAGTGGATGAATCATCTAATGTCATCCATCAAGTACATTATTAAGTAATATTTAATTTAAAGGTTATAAAATAATATTTTTCAGTCCTTTTATTTCACTGTTATTCAAGGACTACATAAGCTTAGATGGGCTGAAATAAGCGATGATTTGCTTGACAATGAATACCAAAGTCTGACTGTTATTTGTGAAGTTAGCAGATGAAATTGAGCACTACGGTGCTGTCCTTTGTTCAGGTCATTTCCAAGGAGTAACGAATACTGAATGTACACTTTTAAGAAGACTTTAGGATTATTAGAGTTAATATTGATGAAACATTCATTGTAAATTGTGATGGTAGAAATACATATGGCTTGTGTCTGATACGGATGAAGACAAAACAGATAAGAATTAAGGTGCAATGTTTTTTCTTTCTTTTTTTTCTTTTCTTTTTTGAAATGTTATGCTCTTAAAAAGAGAGATCTGTTGGTTAGGATAGTGCAGTTTACTTTCATCACTCCTGTTAGGATGGATTAGGAAATGCTGTGATACCTTAAGTGGGTTAACTCACAAGAAGACTTTAGGATTATTAGAGTTAATATTGATGAAACATTCATTGTAAATTGTGATGGTAGAAATACATATGGCTTGTGTCTGATACGGATGAAGACAAAACAGATAAGAATTAAGGTGCAATGTTTTTTCTTTCTTTTTTTCTTTTCTTTTTTGAAATGTTATGCTCTTAAAAAGAGAGATCTGTTGGTTAGGATAGTGCAGTTTACTTTCATCACTCCTGTTAGGATGGATTAGGAAATGCTGTGATACCTTAAGTGGGTTAATAAAATTTTGGGGTCATTGCCAGGGTGATTATGTCACCTGATTTGGTAATAAATTGAATGCAGAGGAAGTAAACATGGATTGTAAGGCCATTGAACATAACTTGTTCACACTCACATATTACTTGATGAAAAACAAACAAACAACATTATCACACCATTGAAGCAAGTGACAAATAACAAACTCTAACCTTGATTAGGACCTAACAGTAACCGTGGGGTCTTTCATGCCAAGGGATACTGACAGTAGTTTTTGTACCTCACTGACAAACAGGTGAAACCATCATGTTTTCTGCCTTTGTGTGTAGTGTTTACAACCTGTTTGCCCAATAGATTGTTATGAAGTGTTCTATTAATTTCATAGTGAAGGAAGAGAGCTAGAGTATAACCATATTTTTGATTCTCTCTTTTTTAATCACTACTGCTACCTTCCTAACTTTATTTATCTGTCAGTTTCAACAGACTATGTACATCTTATATTGCAATAAAAGTTTGTTTTCTTCTGTAAAACTGTGTTTTTGTGTGATGAATGGCATCAGTAGATATGTGGGGCAGTCTGTAATCAAACCCGGTCAGAGGCAGCATTAGGACCCAGCAGGATAATGGAGGGAAGTCGGTCTCTGTAACTTCATTGAGAATCTTTCAATGCAGATAGTGTCTGTCACTTAAGTACTTAACATCGATGGGTGCACGGGCTGCAATGTGTGTTTCCAACAAGTCGAGGAGTTTTGTTTGATTCTTCTGATAAGGAAATAAACGGCAAACGTGAGTAAAATGACATCAAATAATCATTCACAAATGATTGCATGAAAAGTTTATTTATCTAAACTAACAGAAACCTAATGACGCTAGATAAGCGTAGACTTATTTTTGGATACATTTGTTTAGGCTAATTGTCATCTTATGCATGGCCGCGACTGCTCTTGTTGTTGCACACAGACTATGTAACAATGATTTGAAAGCGCAGGTAAACCGTTAAATCCAATGTTTTATTTGTTATTGGAGGTGCACTGCACCAAACGCGTCCCTCTTTCCATATTAGCGATGTTCGAATCATGAACGAATCGCTGTTTTGAGTCGGATCTGTTGAATCAATTGAACCAGTTCACTAAACGAAACCGAACGATTCATTCATTAATCGAACTGAATCGGTTCGAGCGGTTCTTGAGTCAATAACTGACTGTTTGAAACCTCTTTTTCGGATGTGTACAATTCGTGATGAGGGCTAACTGTAAATGCATTTCGAATGAACCGAGGATTTGACTGATGGGGCGAAAAATATGTTATTTATTAATATAATAGCCGAAAACGAGCTGAAAAAATATTTAGGACTTAATAATGCATAATGACACGTGATGACATACTTACTGATTTGCTGAATCGGTTTCCAAACGATTCGTTATACTAAACCGATTCGTGGTTATCAGTCGGATTTCCTTTACTCTTCCCATCAGCTCTCATGCAGTGCCTTATCTTTTACACATAGATCTATACGAACTGACTTTAAACTGTTTTTCTCATGTGATGTTTCTCATCATTTTCTACAAGAATTTTCTGTTTTCAACTTAATATTCATCTTATTTCATACAGACCCTCAACTTCAAACGTTCAGAAGAAACGATACACCTGGAACATAAGCCCGCTGTGGGTGGCATAGTGATTCAGAGGCTTGTAGTTTAGTTTTCAATTTCTCTTGGACTTGGGCTCTCAGATCTTTCTTACTCTTGTGCTGCTTTGTTTATAATAAGTGAAGTCTCTCTTTATAAGGAGCTGAGTTCTAACAGGACCCCTATGGTGAGGCGGTACTACTTCTCTTGATCTCCTGAAAGTCCTACTGTTTTGATAGTTGCTGTTCTGGCATGGTGCCGGAATGAGAGCGCTGCTTCTTGCTTGTGGCATTGGCTCTTGTATTTTGCTTTCCCTCACTGAGACAATGAGATTAATCCTGCTGGCTCTCTCAGAACAAACCGGCTGCGTCTGGTCAGGCATTGGTCTGGAGACACAGATT